TGCAAAATTAAAAGTCAGAAAGGGTGACCTTTTGCATCAAAACGTTTTATATGTGTTTTATTTGGGATTCTTTACAAAATAATCTTTTGAAAAGGGAAATGCGCCTCAAACACATATAGAAGTGAGTATTGAAAGTCATGTCATACTTAAAAATATAGAACGACAAATTAATATGACTATAAAGTGTTCACCATCCTCTAAATATGATAACATAGCATTGTCTTTATCCGCAGCTCCCCTCCATCTAATCTCTTCATACAAATTTCTTCGTGTACTGGATTCAGACCCCGAAGAGTCCTACAATACCGTGCGATACTGTGTTTCTATCAAGTTCATTTTGAAGTTACAGCGTACCACCTTCTGTCGACAAGGAAAGGCTAAGATGCGCAAGTTTGAAACGGACTAATGTTGATGTAAAAACCCGTTGCAGGTATCATTACTCATCGGAAACATCCCCAAGACTTCTGAATCGCAGGGATGAAGGAAAGAATTCATCTCCAGCCTCTAAACCTTTCAAAGGACTGACGATCCTACGGAGTAGGATCCTACGTTGTCAGCGTCAAGCAAGAGGTGGAAAAACGCCTTTAGCGAAAGATAGAATCTTTCAAAAGAAGAGCCTCTGTATGAGATGATACGAAGAACGATATGATGGATGAGGGAATAAGAAATTTGGATTGGTTCGTCGTCGACGATGCTCTCGATGGAAAACGCGCTTCCTGTTGTGGCAAACACGAAAAAGAAAATGACTGATTGTCGATAGATCCTTTTAGTAAAAAAATTACTTTCGTCAATTTTATTTGCGATAAATTAACAGGCTATTACAAACATATCCAGTACACTTCAGTATTGAATAACTTTAAACTAGCTGGGCTAGAATGATCTATGTAGGTCCGCATAACTACCTAGCGATAATGTGAAATTGAAGTGAACAGGTACCACGGGCGAGAAAGCCTTCCATGGCCCTTAAGCTAGACGTCTGTCAAAATCAGAAATTTCAACCTACACAGAATATTAGGCTGTTACAAGCGAATCCGGCGGACTTTACAATTTGGGGTTCCACATGTAATTTCTTCACCTATAGCTTTTCAAAGTTAATCGTTAGCAAGATATGCTTGCCTACTATTTTCGCTTTTTGATGCATGGAATGTCTCCTAACCACGAAAACATAGAGCGTGGAAATGAGCAGGTTCAGGCCATCGTTGGATATTTTTTGCTCAATCCAGGAAGTGATTGACGCATGGCGACGACGTTTCGCGCTGTCGTCACATAACAAGGTTATGTGTTTTGTTTAAAGCTTCGTTGTCTAATGTCTTCAGCCACCTTCGATGAATTTCCGCTACGTTATGGCTTTCGAGAAAACACTGAACATTGATTTTTGAGACCAAATGACGCTTTTTCTTTTGGACTCGTTTATCCTGGAGTGAATCTAGTTTCCGATTTTCACTTACAAGTTTCCGGAAGACTAGAGTATTTAGCAGTAAAATTTTGTCTGCCAGAGGCACATATTTCAAAAGTTATTCAGTTTCAAAATTTGCCGGGTTTATTTGTAATGGTTCAGTATATTAAAAAATTATCTATAATGTGTACAGTTAAGGTGGATGAAACTTAGTTTCACAAATCTGAGAGCAAGAAACGTTTTTATACTTACATTGTCTATGTGTATAGCTCTCTATAGAAATATATCAAGTCTGTCGAAAATTTTGTTTCGCGCATCAGTATGCGATGTTTATATGTACCATTAAAATTCAATAGCACACGCAGCAGCAACTTAAGGATTAAACAACGTACGGAACTTTGATGCAATCCAAATTAGACTTAGCT